AATAAACAGCGATATGATTACCGCGCCCATGTGTGTATGTATGTCAATTTACTAAGATTACAAATGCGAAAGTTCGCGTGTATATTTATTAGATAATACCGTCAAAACGGCTGAAGGGTTCGGTGTGAAATTTGGAACGTGGTTTTTTTAAGGGAGGAAAATCATCGAACGACTGCTCCCGCCTGGGTGAGGCGCGAGGGAGTGTCAGACTCTTACTGACTAAAAACCACCACGTTCCTTCTCCTGCACGTCGAGCCGGAGCCCTAGCAACCCGTTAAATTAACGGGCGTAGATTTTTCTTTTTATACGTTGCCCCAAATTAAGATTTTCTCCTGTATCGTGGGTGCGTTTAAAACATACAAGTTCACATACACATGACACCCAGACCCGGAACAACAATTTGTGGATCACACAAAGTGTTGTTCCGTGCGGGAATCGAACCCGCGGCACGTTGCACGGCAGTCAGTTACCCAGCCACGACTTAATGATAAATTTCATATACCAGACATGAAATGAATCGCATGACTGTCAATTATATAATGTAAAATTATTTCATGAATCTCGTGGCCATTTATTAATACTCAATTACGTGTATTATATAATATGTAATTGTTATCTGTGACATATAATTGTATCTTGGCACTGTAAAGGTATTTATTACCTTCCGTATCATGCATGTACCATAGTAATGACAATCATTGTTTTATGGTTTAACAACAAAAATTAGGTGCTCGCGATTAATGTCTATAAATTACGTAAAGTCAAAGCATTTATTTCAATTAACTCGTCGAGTACCGTCATTATAGACACAATTATAGAACAATAGGTTGCGGTCACCGGTGACCGCTTGGTGTTTGACAGTTTAAACCATAATTTGGTACTTTTGAAACGTCAAAAAATACAAAATAAATAATAGTCTGTCAGTCGTTCCTTCAGTGAAGCTAGGTGACGCTAGGTACATAACATCACGCCTTTTACCCCCGAAGGGGTAGGCAGAGATAATCGCGCAGACGTAATATCACGGAAACGTATGCAGTGGTTCTCATTACAGCACTTAATGCTACTGTACAATGTACACCCACTTTTCACTATTTATGTTATGAGTCCCATGTAATAGGGGGTGAGCCTATTGCCATATACCGGGCACAATTCCAGGCTCCGTGCTACTACTGAATTTTTTTTTAACCCCTTGCCTGGCAGTCGCACATGCGACCACTCGGCCGACGAGGCAGTCAATAAATCCTTAATGAATTAAATTCGTTAGTTCAGTTAAACCTTCATGTAATCACTTGTCGCGGAGAACCTAACGGGTAACCGGGGCTCCGGCTCGACGTGCAGGAGAAGGAACGGGGTGATTTTTAGTCAGTAAGAGTCTGACATTCCCTTCCGCCTCACCCAGGCGGGAGCAGCCATTCGATGATTTTCCCCCCTTTAAAAAAAAATGTAACCACTTGGAACGCCAAAAATTTAAATGTCCGTCCGTCCGTCCGTCTGTCAGTGAAACTATGCTTTAACAACTGTTTTATTCTGTAATGGATGTTCCAAAGAACACGGTAACGACAATTCTTCTTTTTATGTGAATAATTTTTCATTATTTTCATTATAATATTTGCAATTTATATGCAAAATAAATTATGCCGGTTGTCTGAAAAGTTTTATGACGTTATTCCGCAAATAAATAGGTACAATATGTTATATTTGAGTGTTCAAAATGAATAAAGCGTTTTTTTTTATGGGACAAGCCCACCACAACCTCCCAAAACTGTGGCAACTCCTGTAAGCTAGGATCTACAGTAGATACAACCATGAAAACACCGGAACATTGTGTTTCGGCGCGTCCCAGGGACATGAACAACTGACTCGGTTCCCGCAATGAAGTGAATCAGAAGATACCCTATGTGTTATACCAGACCATAATCTACCCCTGTTTCAAAAATCATCGTAATCCCTTCAGCTGTTTTGACGTGAAGGAGTGACAAACAGACAAACAACGGATTAACTCGTCGAGTACAGTCATTATAGACACAATTAAATAACAATAGGTTGCGGTCATCAGTGTCCTCGCGGTGTTTGACAGTTTAAATTATTAGTACGATATTATGACTGGGACTGCCTCGTTGGCAGAGTGGTCGCAAGTGCGACTGCCGGGCAAGGGGTCTCGGGTTCGATTCCCGGGGTCGGGCAAAGTATTACTGGGTTTAATACCCAAATATCAGTAGTAGCACGGAGTCTGGAATTGTGTCTGGTATCAGTGGCGTGCACAGGTTTTCGAGACAGGGTAGGCAACTAAATATCGTATGATTAAACCCCTCTCCCCCGCCGGTCATACAATCATGCTCACACAAGATAGGTACATGTACATAATATATTTTAAAAAGTGCGTTCAAGAATATTGTGGTGTATTGTTTCGCCAAATTACATACACTGACATCTCGCGTATTTTTTGTGAAGTACTTCATCAGCTATTGAATAAGCCAACAAAACTTACAAATAATGAAAGATCTATTATTTATTTTAATAATGAAGCATAAATTTGATGAACCAAATTTCATTATGGAATTGTTAAGGTTAATCAATCTGGTCAAAATCATAATATATTACGAATTTAAGAGCGTAGGTACCTACATTATGTCAACAAACAAAACAATAACAAGCGCGGCCGGCTGTGGCCGAGCCGGCCGAGTCTATGCGGTACATTTGTTATTACTACATTACATAAATATTAATAATAAATTAATATGTGAATCAGTACAACCCGAAGTCTAAGTTGATATTTTTAAGAATTATCAAACAATAAACAAGAAAATCAAATAAAAGATCCATTATAGTACATATTTACATTACCTACCTTTTACTTGGGTCAATTCTCGTAACTCGAGTACACCTCTGCCTATGGTCATTACCTGAATCTAGTCCGATAAAGGACATTGCGAAATCTTACTGTTTTTACTTTCAACAAACACATAAAATTACCTATTATTCACACACACTTCACAATCGAATAATATAGGTACTTGTACTAGAAACTGAGAAACAAATACACTATTTGAAAAACCTACACATATATTTAACTACTACTACACATTTATGCAACTTTATGTTTAAAACTAATTCCTAATAATTTAAACGAAAACATAAACAAAGCGATCGCACATCACATGAAAACAATATGGCCGAAAACATTGGAAATGAATTGAAGTCATTACCAATAGTCAATTGAGTGTTTATTATAAAAAAAATGTAGCTTAAAAATTAAGGTAACGCAGCGTTTAATTTCAAAAAAACAAACGTTAATTTAGTAAGTCAAATGAAATTGCATCATCGTCTTAAACCAATATTTCATACTAAAAAACATTCATTCATATAATTTGAAACGTTGTAAATGGCGCCATCTTGACGTATCAATAACTTCCTTTTAACTTTTATAATAATAAAGTCAACTCCTCGTTTAAAATTTCTATAAACCGACAACGCGTAAAAATGTTAAACTTTAATTAAAACACTTGAAAAATATTTGTTAAATACGCATTTATAAAAATACATTCGCATTATATCGAACGAGTTCAGAAGTTTCAACAAAAAATTCAATAGATGGCGCTGGTGTACTCCATTCATCAGTACTTTACGATATACATACAAATTTTATCAATTTAAATCCTTTTATGATTTAATTGTTTTTAAAAATACAATAACTTGTTGTTGTTTTATTGTATTTAGAATTCTTAATAAAATACGATCGTTTTCCAAGTGATGAACGAACGGTCCTCTAATTTTTTAGTTGCAAACATTTTGTCAATCAACAGGAATCGCGTAATATAATTATGAATGGTTATTCTGTACCGTGACTATGGTCGTGAACTTCACGCATGCGCGGTGCATACTTTTGGTACATTTCTTTTGTGACGTCACTACTGCCAACCAAGATTTAAGGAATAGTGGCGCATGCGTGGTGCGTGCGGGGCGCATTCATTACTTTACAAAGGCGCGTATTTATGTTAGCCGTTTTTTTACAAACTTTTATTATATTATTGAATTTTAATAAACGCGTTTGTACATTATATGTATGTTATATATTCACGATATTTATAGGTAGGCAATGCCTTTCCGCCTATATGGACTGCACGCCACTGTCTG